CAGTTGACATACATCAGAAAAGTTTCTTTTTGCCTTTTCAGAGAGAGTTCTTTAAAAACAAATACACAAAAAAGTCCAAAAACCCCCAAACAAAAACAAGTCCAAACCAGTGGAATAAAATATGTATTGTTAGTATTAAATAAATCCCATTTTATCTGAAATTGCATGACATCTTTCTGACCCCACAGAACTGGCTCTCAGGCACATTGAAGCAGCGCTATTACTGTTGCTTTTACATAGGAAAATTCTAGACTTAGACTTCCTAAGAGAGCAAATAGTTTGGCTCTGGGTTTCTGTCTTTGGCCTATTTTGAAGTGTATTTGGGTTTCACAGTTATAACTGGGCAGAATTTATTTGGCTTAATACATGAACATTTCTTCCCGATAGGTTAGGTCAGCTGTGAGGTTTAATCAGCGTTCAGATTTCTGACATGCTGCCCAGGGGCATATCATCTGAGCAAATAAACAACCCAGGAAAGGTCTGTATACCACGGGGATGATGTGGGATTGCAGGGGATCAGTTCCACTCAGGTGTTTATGGTGGTTGTGTCTTTTCATGGCAGATAAGAGCTGACATTCAGCATTACACCCTATGTGGCACCAATGTGTATAAAACAAACAGTTATTGTTGTTTCCCCTTTGGAGCACTCTTGTCTAAAGGACTGAACTGAATATGTTTGCTTCTCTTTGAAGCATGCAGATTCTTCCCACTGAATGTTGCAAAGGTTTGGTCTCATTTATAAAAGGAACATATTTTCAGCTATTCTTCACTTTAAAAAGAATCTTCATACTGAACCTGCCTCTGGGTAGTCCTGCTCCTAATTCTAGTTCTATTTTCCTACATAGCTGCAAATTAAGGCCTCTGATTTCCACTAGCCAGTGTGGCAAGAGCAGTAATGGGTACCAGAATCTTCTTTTTCCCCTTGCTGTCCTATCCATACTTGACAGTATTTTGGAGAAGAAGTGGCATTCAGCCAAGGAATGAAACCTCAAGGCAACTATATCAGCCTCAAAGATTTATTTATTTAATTAAGTCATCAGCAGGATGGAAAAAATACTCTCAGTTGCCAGAATGAACCGTTCCAAGCTCAGGGAGGGTCAAAGTGCATGCCTGCAAGTTATATGTTACCAGGAATTGAATGAGAAGCTTCACAAAATTCTGCCCTTTGGTCTGGAGTAATGATGCTGTGGGTGCATCACTGAGGGAGGAGAGGGAGAAGGGTTGGGAAATGTTCTGGTTTTCTCTCCCACTGGAGTGATCCTGCCTTAGAAGTCACTTGGCTGCTGCTTTAATGTTGAGGGGCATCACTGGACATACTCACACAGCCAGTCTGGAAAATACTGGAGGACAGGAATGAGTGGGACCACTTCAGGCAGTGAGAGCAGCCTCCTGATACAGGACACAGCTACGTAATCTGCAAATTGTCCTTCAGAAACAGCTCAGTTCCCTCAGTTCCCAAGTCCTGCACAGCTTGCCTCCATTGCCAAGGCAGTGACAGAGGATTCAGAATTTTCCATCCCATACAGCTGGAGAAATTGCTGCCACTGAGACATCAGTGGTCCAAAAAAAAGTCCCAAATCCCTTTATCAGGAAAGCTGTCAGAGGGCTGGGGGTTGAGCTTTCCAGTCAGTGCAGCCAGAGACACAGCCTAGCACCAGCAGGCACCTCTGTGCCTTGGCTCTTCATCTGGTACAAATTGGCCTCATTCTTCTGATCTGGCTCTGCATTAAATATTACTGCTGGACAATGTTTGCTGTCATTTCAGATAGGACTGAACATTTTTAAGAAAGATTTGGGAAGTACATATTGCCTCAGACAACTTCTAGTAAATAACTCGTGTTTGTTGCTCTGCCCCAGTGGGAATGCTTCTGAACTTTAGAGACAAAAAAATCCTCTGGCAGGAGCAGTTTAGTAAAGCCAGGATATATTTTAGTGGAGCTTCTCAACTTTCTAGTCAGTTCCATTGTTGATTTTTAAATAAGTTTTGCGAGCATCACTCTCAGCTTTTAATGCTCCTCTTATTGGCTTCATTTGTCTCTCTGAGGGGTGTGGTGCTGCAATATTTTCCTGTTCCAGGACTGCACCAAATTCTCATGCAAATTAATCTTGTTAATCATCACAGCCATGCAGTCCTTTAGCTAAGTTCTCTTTGCTCAATGAAACACATCAAATGCACTCAAAACATGGAGGAGTTTTTCAATAATCAATTCATACACATTTGCCCCACTGGTGGTGAAGAGGCTGTGCCCTAATTCTTTTTTCTTCATTTTGATTCTCCAGCTTTCCTCAAAAGCTGGTCCTCCTGCAGTCTGTTCTTATGGGTTCCTCTTTGGGAGATTCAGCAAGGTCCACACTGAGGGCAGCAAGTATGGGTTTGCTTTTGGATGATATCAATAAATAAATGTCAGTCAGCTCTGGAAGGTGAAATCTATCTGAAAAGATGCTTTTGGCTTCTCCCAAGAGGCACAAATAGGTAACTTAAATTTTGTATGAATTATTAGCAATGTAGCTTGCTGTTTTGCTTGAAAACCAGAAGAATTGGCTTCAAAATTTGCTATTTTCACCCAGCCCCAGTTCTGGTGATCTTCCCAGACACTGACCTTTTTTTTTTAGCTTTCCTCCAAAAAAATACCACTTTCTATTCTCTCTGGCCTTAGCCAAAGTCATTACTTTTCTCTTTGTCATACTGAGACTCAATAGCATTGTAATTATTTCTGACATATGGTATCATCTATCCACCTCTCCTTCCAATATGTCCAAATGAAAGAGGAATGCCACTGTAGCCACCAGACCATGGTTTCCATCAATTAATTCCACTCCATGGCTGTCCATTCCTGGGGGAGCAGGGACCTAAACTTCATGTCCAGGGTGATGTGCCATACCTGGAGCCCTGGAGCTTTGCTATCTTATTTCAGCTCCCTCAGAACTGGAAATTAAAGCCCCAGTTTACTTCCCTAATTTTGTGGCAGAAGGCCAGTGATTCTATCTGAGAGTTTTTTTTCTTTACCTCCATTAACCCCCAAATGTTGCTGTATTCAAAACATCCACAGAGAGTGTATTTATCATTCATTTTCTGTTCATGTTGATGTGGGAAAACACGTGCAATCAATATTGAATCTCTTTCAAAACAACTTAAAATGGGAATACATATTGCTCTAATCTAAAACTAATCATGATGATAAATGATGAAAAATATGCCAAAAAAGTGAAAATACTGGGTTCTTTAGTTGTGGGTGTGGGTATGTGTATGGACATGCACATATATCTATTGTTTATGAAGAAATTAGAACTCAAATCAAAATTCAATTAGAAAGGAAAAAATTGCTTTTAATGATTAATTTTGTGATCATAATTAAGCCTCACATGCCTAGTTTTACGCATTTGCCACCTATTTAAATGTAACCTGATAATATATTCTATTTACCTGTATGAAAAATGGCCACAAATGCATGTTAAAAAATAGACAAAGGTAGATTCAGCCATATTGATCTGTCTTCCACAGTTATTTTCTAATGCAAAATACAACTGTAAAGCAATACAAGCTGTGGAATATGACTGTCCTGTATATTTATGGTTCTCCAACTTGTTTGTTCTCCCCTTTCAGGCTGAAGGTAAATGCCATTGCATTATAAGAGAAGTTAAAGACAAAATTAGATTAAAGACAAATTAGACTGTGGTTTGGTGAATATCTTAATTCAATATAAGCAAGCCTGCTAGGAAAAGAAGTCTTGCCCCCACTCTGCACCCTCTCTTTCTGGGTACCAGCCCTCACATGTGCCTGGGTGAACAGCTCTGCAGACACCCAGAGGAGCAGAGCAAGGAGCAGATCCCTGAAAACCAACCTGCCAGAGACATTTCTTTTCTCATGAGTTTTCTGCCAGAGCACAAACAAGTGGCCCAGGGTGAAGGAGGAGGCTGAAATGCCATTTAAAACCAGTCTGACCAAGAGTTAATAGTTTTGGGATCTCCAAGACAGTTGTTCCTAATATGCCTGCACAGTCAAAAATATTTCCAGGCACTGCAGCAAATTGAATGGTTTGGACCATGAATAGTTTTCATTAAAAAGTGGCTTTGGGGGACGAATTAAATTTTCAAAGAAACTGATTAATTTGATTCTCACACAGAAAAGAATCTTTTCACTTCTACATTTTAAAATGTATCCAAACCCATAACCCCCACAAAAAAGTAAATTTGCTAATAACTGTTTATGAAGCTCGCACTAATATTTTTTGTCCGGAGTTTAGAACAAAAATCGTGAGAGCTGCTGAGACATGAGGTGGCTCCGCTCTTCCATGTGCTTTGAAAGAGTAACTTCAACATTTGACTTAAGCCTGGCTTCTCACGGCGCACAGAGTTAAGCAGCGAGACGTGGTTTTGCCTCATTAGGTCAGCAACACCAGCCTGCAAGGCAGTGCAGCTGGTTCTGTGATGCTATTAAAGAAATTATAACTACATGCACACATCCTTGTAGCATCAGCCCCCCAGTGAAGATACAAGATCACAGAATTGTTCAGGGGGGTGGAATCAGCAACATGGATTACAGTTAAGGACATAGTGAGTCAATTTAAGGCTATAAATACCCTGGTTTTCAGTTATGCTTTTAATCTTTATTAAACTGAGTGATTCTTACTTGCTTTCATTCATATATGCATGTGTATAGGGTTTTTTTTCTGTATATATAGGCCTGTAAGACTGTAATAAATCCTGCAGAAGTCTCCTAGAACATAAATAGTGAGTTCAAATCCTTACCTGAGAAACCACAGAGGCACCAACACACACTCAGCCTTCAGAATTTCCCCGTGCAATTTTGCAAACAACGGCAAACCATTTTTGGTTTGTTTGGTTGTTTTGTTGTTTGGTTTGTTTTGTTTTTTATAAAGCACGCAATATTTTTTGCATTGCTTAAGAAGAAATTAAAACATCCTTTTGCTTTCTATCCTTCTTTTAATGGCTTTGCATATTACTTTTCATCTAAACTCAGTATTTGAACGTACACTTACCAGGCGCCTGTTTTCTTTGTTGCTTGTAATTACTGAATAAGTCGGAATCATAGCCAGGGAAGTCTGTGTGGGATTACATCTGGAGTAGTGTACTGTAGCAACACTGCTTTGCAGAGCTTCTCCTCTCATAGATTTGATCTTAATGATGGGCTACACTTTCATCTTTTAAAAAAAATCATTTTCCGCAACTCACTGCTTTTTATACCTCAGCAAGAAAATGCCGTTTATTGTTCAGCTTCTCTTGCCTACAATGTTTGTATCTATAATTGAAACTTAAAAGCTATGAGCTTGAATAATTCAATCAGAAAGCATATTGTTTTTACTGTTCTCGGTATGAATCCAAACGATCGCATTATTGTGATGTTATAATATCAGAATGTATTTATTTTTACATGCACAGTCATAGTAGACAGCATCCCCCTCTCTCTCTCCAGAAAAAAAAAACAGCAATGAGGAGGGGAAAAAAAAAAATAAAAATGCTGAGCTTTATCCATGCTGGGTTCCTCTGGTGTAACTTAAGCAAATGAGATATCTCTGGTCCCCTCCAGCGAGCAGCAGCTCTGTGGCTCAGGCTGTTTGTGCTGCTCGCTCTGGAGCGCCCCGGGCTGAGCGTGATCCTGGCGGGACAGGCGTGACCTCCCCATGGGAAGCCACCTGGGCCACCGAGCGTGTCACTGATACCGCGCCCGCGGCTGCTCCGTGTCAGCTCCGCGCTCCATGGCCCCGCGCATCTCCCACTGGAACGCCCCGTGGAACCGCGCAGGCAGAGCAGCTCCGCTGATGTCTCAGGACACCTTTTCACCCCAGGATTAGCTGTAGAGCAAATTGAGCTTCGTGTGTTTTGTGCTTAGCGCATATTCTATTTATTTGATTTTTTTTAATGGGAAAAAAAAAAAAATCCCGATGTTTTAATTCAATTGTTGGCTGTCATATTCTCCCTGTCAAGGCGAGCATAAAATAAGGGCTTTGAGAATGAAATGGATGAAACTGTGGTATCTAATGCGAGTGCCACGTATTCTATCTCAACTACACAGCAATTTTTTGAACTGATAAAACATCAAATGTGACTTTTGGCTTAATGTGGTTGAAGCAGTTGGTAAGAATTAGCAATAATATGGAAATTATCCATTTTTCACTTTATTGCTATGTTTGGGCAAATCATTATATATAATAATCTACTCTTAGGTAGTGCTGTAGCTGTATCTGTAGAATTAGGCCCAGGAAGAAAAACTGCCCTTATTCCCATAACCATGAATCTGAAATTTCGTGATTTGTATAGATTTTCATTATGTCCTTAGCATAATTTCAGCACAAACGGAGGGCTTAGCCAGGTTCCCATGGTGTGTCCTACAGGTATGGAACAGCTTAGCATCTTTTTCTCTGCTTACCAAGCTTAACGCCTGTAAATCAACCACCCCATTATGCAGTAATTCCCCTTATTCCTAATTCAAAATAGCAAAGTTAAAGCAGAATTTGGGTAATGAGGAACTATATCGTTTTGGCCTGTGTATGATCCTCATTCATTATCTTCTTTCCATTTAGGGGAAGGGGAAGTGAAAAACCCTTTTATTTGCAAATCCATCCATACCACTTTATAAGACACAGTATTAGGAAATAGCATGATTTATTGGAATGAGGCATTTCAGTAAGGCCTAAATGATAGAGTCTGCTAGGAAACTCATTTTTTCTTGATGGGATCTGATGATGGGGGTAAGACCAAGAGCCCCCTGCCAAGAAAACACACAGTAATAAACTTGCAGAAAGCTTTCACTACCACCTATCAGCGGTGATGGTTCCCCCTTCTCTTACCTCAAACATTGCCCAAATTGGGAGGCACGAGAATCTCCCCACTGACTCTCATGTGAGGTGAAATGAAGAAAGCCTTAAACTTCACAATTGCCAATAATGAGCAATCATTACTCAAATTACACCAAGCACTGATTAGGTTTAAAGTAATGAAGAAAACAACACGATCAATCATCATCAACCCAAAAGAAGTCAATCTGTGCTAGAGATACAGCAAGATCTTAGTGGAGGGCTCCATCTACAGGGTTTGGGAGATGAGAGAGAAAAAACATCTGAAAAAGATTCCCCCTGCTCCCAACTCTGCTCACATTTTTCTAACCAATCCCTAAAAGCCACACAATGTAAAAGGAATTTTTTTTCTCCTTTCTTTAGCTGCATGAAAATTAAAAGGGCCTTAGCAAAAAAAATTAAAGCATAAAAACTTTTTGGAAGAACATTTCACTGCTGTTGAACTGGAGTATCTGTTTTTAAAAAAAATGACAAGAGTTAAGGACCTAGAATCTACAAATAGTAAAATTATACTGAGAGCTTTGACTGTGTGAACAGCATCAATGGAGGCTGAGGTTTTTAATGCAATCTGTATTAATAGGTTCTAGCCACAGAAATAACATTGGAAAAGAACAAATTGCATGGGAAATTCCCATTTGTCAATTTTCATTGGTTACTAAATAGAAAATCATAGATTAACCCAAAGCTTATTTTGAAAATCCAGAGTAAATTCAGCCTACACCACATTTCTTAGGCATGGAATAAGATTTTTATACCAGCTACAGACTCAGTCTGTTAAAATAAACCCCATTTTATTTTAAAAACAGGAAAATAAAAGGGAAGAGAGTAGGTATGTTGCTATTCCATGCACATGTATATGTAAACTTTAAACTGTGCTAATGAGTAACATTAATATATGCATTTTGTAAAAGATGCATTATTCTTTAGGAATGATTTCAATTGAAATATGTCCCCTTTCCATGTGCCAAAGGCTTTACATAAAAATTACTTTAAAAGAAAATTATTTACAATTTAAGCACAGGAAAATACAAAATTAGGATTTCTATTCAAAGTCTGTTCAATCTAACAGAAGTTTCCCCACTGACTTAATTCACTTTTGAGTTGGGGATAATCATTAGAAATAATGAGATACAAATGAAAGCCTAGTGAAAAAATGCATGACTGAAGGGAAATAAAAAACAATACACAGCCATTCTAGTGTAGATTTCCATACTAAAGCCCCTTGTAGAAGGGCTAAATTTAAGGGCAAATTTCCAACTTTTCGTACTTTGAGCTGTTCAGGACCATGGTTTTTCTCCTACTTAGAGTTCCCTAAGTGACCTGAGATAATCTGTAGGAATAATGTCATCATCACTATAAATTCACACTTGTTTGGAGTAATCTTTATTAAAACATTATTTCAACTTTGCATGCCAACGGTAAATTTAATGCAGTTTTTATAACATGCTTAATATTTGTTGATAATCAGGATATTATGATCTAGTTAAGGAATTTTTATTTCTTATTGAAATCTGGTTTTTATTGAACACAAATTTAAAGATGAGCATGTCTATGTGCCTGGCTGAGCTACAGATTTATTTGAGTAGTTGCTTAAATAAAGCACTGTGAGGAGTATTGTGAGGATAAAAAGCAGTTTGGGAGTTCACATATTTGTAGAAGTCATTTGAAAATAGTTGAGTATTTTGACATCCTTTTGTCTTTACTCTTGGTAATGCATAGTTTTGATACAAGTAATTGGGCTGTGCCCTTGCAGAACTGTCACGTGGCCCTATAAATATTAAATGGCAATAAAGCCTTTTAAAAGAAAAAAAAATAATAGATTGTTTACTAAAATTCTGGTTTACTTAAATGAGCTTGAATAATACTGATTATCTTTTCCCTCTTCTGCCTTGCAGTAGAGAAAAAAAGTAATCTGTACCAATATTAATGAAAGTTCATCCAAAGTTTTGTCTTTTCACAGAGTTTCTCCATTTCTATGTTAATATATTTTTGTCTTCATGGCTGGAGAGGGTCTTTTTACAAGGGCATGCAGTGATAGGGCCAGGAGCAATGATGTTAATCTGAAGAAGGGAAGGTTTAGATTAGATATCAGGAAGAAATCCTTCCCTGTGAGGGTGGTGAGGCCCTGGCACAGGGTGCCCAGAGAAGCTGTGGCTGCCCCTGGATCCCTGGAAGGTCCAAGGCTGGACAGGGCTTGGAACAACCTGGGATAGTGGAAGGTGTCCCTGCCCATGGCTGAGGGTAGGACTGGATGGGTTTTAAGGCCCCTTCCAACCCAAACCATTTGGGATTCTGTGATTTAATGCAAACATTGAATCTGCTCATGTTAAAAAAACCCAACAAACCAACAAACAGACAAGAAATAAATAAAGTCCTGATGGAAGAAGTTGACAGCTACGAGTTTGTTTTGCAAAGTTCTTACATTCTACTTCTTTAAAACATATTTAGATTGCCTATCCTTGACAACAATAATAAACTATTTCCATGGAAACTCAGGGGAGAAAGCCATGGAAATCTCATCAGCAGGAAGAGCAGGTAGCAGCGCTGACTGCTGAAGGAATAACTTGTCAGTGCAAGGTAAAGCAAGTCAGTTGTTGAGGTGTTAAACCAAAAATAATTCCTTTGGTTCTGATTGCTCATTTTCAGACCTTTTAGAAAAAGCTGTAGAGGGAAAATCTTAGTCTGTAATGAAAGTGGAAGGTAAAGTCAGTCCTTACAGCAGTGAGAACTCAAAGACTTTGTGGACTTGGTGATGCCTGTGAGTCCCTTCTTGACTGTAATGTACAAAAAGGTGAATCTGGGGAAGCTCCTCTTGCTGAGCTCCATCCTTTGTGTTCAGTGAAGATATCAAGCAAGGGAATACAGAGCTAAACTTATGGGTTAGGAATTGTAATAGAAGCAGCTGGGAATCTCTGAGGAAACACTTGTCATAGAACACAGCCCAGACAATGCTTGTTAGGGAAACCAAGACTGGGTTTTGCAAAACTGTTTTCATGAAGATTCCCCAGGTTTAACAAAAGTCCCTGGTCAAAGCCAGGGTGGGGTAGGTGGGAGCAGCAGAAGAAACAGTGTGTAATGTCATTTCATGTGTAATTATTTAAAAATGCACAGCAGTGGAGGAGCTTGATGTGTTTCCAGTTTTGTTCCTAAATTCATTTATATCAGACATAGGAGACAGTTCCTTTCCCAGCTTTACAGCATAAACAGCCCATGCTGGTACCTTCACCCTACAGAGGAGAAATTGCTTTTGTACCCATGTGTTTGTTTTCAGAGCAAGTGCTGAAGAAGATAGGTCATGAGATAGTGAACAAGGTTTG